TATCCTCTATCAGGACAAGCAGGAACATTCTTCCTCTACAAGTAGGAATGAATGCTGGATGGACTTGTTTAATGTAGTGAAATTACAAATACTTTTTGTGACTAAATCACACACAATTGTTGCTGGAATTCTTGTCAAGAATTGTAACTCCGTGGTAATGGGGGACGAAAGGTTTAATCATAGTACCTGAACTAAGATCATTGTTGGATGTTACCTGTGGGGTAAGGCAGTGTTTGCAATTTTAAACAGGCAATGAATAATTAATGCAGAGCATTAATGCCTAAATTGATTGTCGAATTTATTAATTAGTAGTTGAGTTAATCTGTTTGTTCTACTTGGCAAGTCACAACAGCAGGTCACCACCGTGGTGGAAATCTACTCAAAAGCTCCAGCTCCAACCAATCATGAATGGAAATGAGAGAAGAAATGGAAGAAACACTGTCCTTTAAACATTAAAAGGAATCTGGTTGTTTCACTATAGCAATAATGGAGATGAAAGGGTTAATTCAAAATGTCAGGCTCAGAATCACAAGTTGGAAATCTGATTTGCATTATTATAGAGCAGTGTACGTTTGCCTTCTCAGCAGCTGTGGGAAAGGCAGTTATTCAGGGGGCAGGGGGAGGAAGGGCTGTGAAGAACAGCCTGCAGGGCTCTGGATCATGGGATGGCAGCAGGAATCGCTGCAGAGCTCAGGAGAGCCAGGAATGGGAGGGGCTCCCACTGCAGATGCTCCCAGAGGCACCGCTGAGGGCAGCACCAGCACTCCCTCAGGGAAAGCTGTGGGAGAGGCAGCTCTGAGCCAGCTCAGTGTTACTGGAGTGCACTTCAAGGGTGTTTTTAGAATATATCACAAGAGGCGATTGATCACCTTAGACTTTTCAGCCCTAAAGTGGAGCACAGAAAAGCAAACATAACCAAATGTAACAAACCCAACAAAATTATCCAACAAAGAGTCAGGTAGACTTCTGCATGTTTATTGATAAAACAGCATTTTCTTTCTGAAAACCAACTGTTAGTCAAGTTAAACCTGATCAAAGTACGTCAGTCTTGGTGGAGTTTAAGACAATTCCCACAGGCGCTTTTGGTGAGGAGTCCAAATTCCAGAACAGGGCAGGAGCTCGAGGCCTTGGTCCTCACCTGTGCTCAGCTTATCCTCGAGTGTTCACCTGCAGGGGGGACACACAGTCAGGCAGAAGAAAGCACAGGATACATCACAATTCCTCCTTTGATAAAGATCCTGGTCTTTTAGTGACTCTAATTCCTTGCTTTATGGTGCAGCATTTATAATTCATTAGCTGCAGTTATTAAAAGGCTGAAAGGTCTTAAGCAGCAGCACAGAAACTCAGAATACTCTGCACAGTAACTGCATTTTGAAGCACAGCAGGTGAATGACAAGGTGCTGGTGCTTGTGAAGGAAGGATAACCCAGCCCAGGACACCAACACCACTCACCACATCATCAATCTTGAGAATGCTGCGCACGGTCTCTGTGGCGAGGGTCAGGGCACTCAGGGACACCAGCAGGGGCTGCACCACCAGCTCCTCCAGGATGTTGGAAATGCCACCCTAGGGGAACAAGGAGCCTTCACTTTGTGCAAGACACACTACAGGCACATTTAGCACCAGAATTCTGAGGGCAATCAACTCCTGGACTATCACAGGGCTTTCACCTGCAACAGGGGCATTACAGCACACATCTCTCCCCAAGCACTTGACACATCCAGTAAAAATTAGCCAACAAAAAAGGTCAACAGTGCCAGCTGAGAAAAACTGGTGCTACTCCCAACTTATGACCACCTTCTACTGCATTTCCTACTGATGGATCATTCTAAATGGATCTTTTGGTGTTGCTGAAATGCTTTTGTGGAAACATGAGATGTTTCCTGTTGTATGCATAAAGCATGTACTATCTGCTATTATCAATGCTCAGGCTGAGCTCCTGAGAGAACAAGCTGTCATTTCCCTCTAATTTTAGGGAGGCTAGCACCTTGCCCTCTCCCCAGTCCAACCCCCTTAGGAAGTTAAGCATTTCCCCTGTAACACTCAGATATCCTCATTACCTTCCTGACGTTAATGCCAGCAGTTTTCTCTCCCTGGGCATGTCTGTTCCGCAGCTCCGTTACCGTGGAGATGGGGTTGAGTCCCGCGTTCTCAGCCAGGGTGGAGGGAATGACCTCGAGCGCGTCCCCGTAGGCACGGACGCAGTAGGAGTCCATCCCCTTCAGCGTCCGCGCGTACTCGTTCAGCCGCAGCGCCAGCTCGATCTCCGGGGCTCCCCCGCCAGCAATCAGAGCCCTGGGGCACAGGATGCCCATTAGCCTCACCTCACACACAGCCAGGCTCCAGGAGTTGCAATAACCCAGGTGAGACGTTACCTTTTCTTCACCAAGCACCTTATGACACACAGGGCATCGTGAATGGAGCGCTCGGCTTCCTCCAGCACCAGTTTGTTGGAGCCGCGGACCACGATGCTCACGGTTTTCCCAGGGTTTGTGCAGCCTGTGATCTGAAACATAAACCCAGGTGCTGACACTGGGGAAGAGCAAAAGCTTGGGACAAAAAGACATTGCCATTGGCACTTTCAAATCCTGTAACAGCACTGATGTCCAGCCAAGCAAAACCACTGCACCACTGAAGCTGGTGGCTACTCAGAGCTCAGAAATAGATACTTAAATGTAATAAATTCCACAGTAAAAAACATCAAAGCCACCAGTTATTAAAATAGCAGACAGATGGTAAGTAGGTATTAACATTTTGTCCCTCACTCACCTTTATTAGTTTCCCAGAACCGTTCAAGTTGACCTCCTCTGCCAGCTCAGCAGAGCCCAGCATGTCAGGGGTGAACTGGTCAATGTGAGCCACCGGCTTAGTTCCAATTGTCTGAAAAAATAATGGGAAAAAAATTAATCCAGAGGCTGACTGCAGAGTCAGCAAGTACACTGCATGTTGTTCTTCTGCATAGGACAGTAAAATGCAGAAGGGACTGCAGCTTTTTGTCCTGAATCCTTCTACAGAAGTGTAACTGCTCAGCAAAGCAGGAAATGTTT